GCTGCCGCCGTGAGCGTGAGGACTACCTGTACCGCGAGGAGCTGGCCCGCTTCCGTCAGGAAGGAGTCCTCACCCAGCTCAACGTCGCCTTCTCCAGGGACCAGGCTGAGAAGGTACCGCTATAGTCCTGCTCCCAGCCATGGTGGGGTGGGAAGAAAAGGCCCTGAGGGCTGGAGACTCCCAGCCTGGAGCAGGGAAGACCCCTGGCAGTCATAGGAGGACCCAGCTCCTCTGCTGTCTCGTGGAGCCACGAGCATGGGCTTGGCTTCCCCTCCCTTGCCATGGCCTGTGGTGTGGGGCTTTGCCCCTCTCAGCTCACCCCAGCCTTTTTTCCTGTCAGGTTTATGTTCAGCACTTACTGAAGAAGAACAAGGAAAACATCTGGAAGCTGCTCAATGAGGGAAACGCTCATATCTATGTGTGCGGGTAAGTCTGGTGGCAGGGAAGGGACTTTGGGGAAAAAGTTCCTATTCTCAGGAAAACAACTGTGATTCAGTTTCCCCACTTGTGTGTTACAAGCCCTGGGAGGGTTACGCTGTCCTGGTTCCGGGGGAGGGCAGGCAGATGGGCTGGGGGGTGTGAACTGTCCATGTTTGTGTGTTGAGGTGACCAGGGCTCTGTGTCCCTGATGTGTTACCACCCCGCTCACGCTCCCCTTGTTTGCAGCGACGCTCGCAACATGGCCCGGGACGTGCAGAACACCTTCTACGAGATCGTGGCCGAGTTTGGGAACATGAGCCAGCCCCAGGCTGTGGATTATGTAAAGAAACTGATGACGAAGGGCCGGTACTCTTTGGATGTCTGGAGCTAAGAGCGGGGCTGCTGGGGCCGGGGAGAGAACAGGTTCCCAGGCGTGAGCCTGTGGGAGGTGGAAAGTGCCTGCTCACCCACTGCTGCTGTGGGTGACAGCATCGTCCCCAGCCCACAGCTACCCCAGTGTCACTCACAACCCCTCCTGGTCCAGAGCAGCCCCCCTGGAGGGCTGGAAGGGGTTGAGAGGGGCAGGGGGGTAGCTCAGGCTGTTGTCCAGGAGCTGTGGTGCCCCTGGCACCATGAGGTCAGGGACAGAGCTGATGTGGGGCAGGAGGGACAGACAGTGCTGGGGGAGCTCTGGGGTCCTTCCCTCAACACAAGGTGTTGCCTTATCCCCTGGGGCTGGAGACCACCGTGGCCTGGGCTGGCAGTGGGGTGGAGGAGCTGGCAGCCCCCTGCACTGTGGGTTTGGTGGAGGGCACGTTGTGGGGCAGCAGTCTGCCCTGGCCCCCCTCCTGCCCTGTTTGGCCACCTCTAGACTAGAGCCATGGGGCTGGCAGCGGCTCTGGGGACAGAGCTGCCCCACGCCACCAGAACCCCGCAGGCACCCCACTCCTTTTCCCCACTGCCCACCTTTGCTCTGGCACACAGCGGGGAGGGGACAGCTCCTCTGCCCTCTGGAAGAGACCTGCTCTTGGGGGAGGGGGTCTCAGTCTGCAGGGGCCCTGCTCACTCCCTGGGGTCCCACAGCTGGCAGCTCCCCTGTGCCCAGCCCTCCCTCATGCTGTGTACGGTCATTTTTTAAATACTGTTTTTATTTTAACATCTTTGTGATTTAATAATGGAAAAAAGAAAAAAAAAATCCCAACCTTTCAGGCTGTCTAATGATGGTAAATTATTTAAATACATTTGCCCTTGGAATAAAAATACTGTTTCTGTAGTTTGCTTCCTGCCCTCCCTCTGCTTGGGAAGAGAGAAGGGAACCAGGAGGAGCAATGGCTGCTAACTGGGAGGAAACTGGGGGAACAGGCAGCAGCTCTGGGTTTAGGCTGAGCTGGTGGCTGGGGACAGCCCTGACCCCGGAGTGCTGAGCCCTGGCAGGGCGGTGAGGATGGCAGCAGGGGGTGGATGGCTCCAGCAGAAAGCAGAGCTGTGTGGTTCCCAACACTCCAGGAATTCCTGGGGGTAGAAGAGGGTTTCCCTTCCCCAGGGACACCGATGTCCTGCTGGGCCTGGCTTTGTGCAGCCAAAGCTCTGCCCACAGTCCATGGTGGGGGGCTGTGCAGGCTGGGGGGTGCCATGGGAGTGAGGTGGGAGCTCACAGCTCTGTCCTCCTGTCCCACCCTGCACCCTGGGCTGCTGTGGGGGCACCTGGAGGGGTTTTTTTCTTCACTACCAGACAGGCTAAAACCACAGAGCATGCAAACCGTTCCAGGACCACCCCAGCAACCCAAGGCAGCACCTTCCCTTTATTTTCACGTGTGCATCCTCCCGAGATGTAAGAGCAGGGTGCTCTTTGCACAGTTCCAGCATGAAGCCTGGGTCAGGCTCGTGGTTCTCCCACCCCTCCACCCTGCAGCTTGAAGACACAGGAGGAACTGGGTGCAGCACCCTGGAAGTCATGTGTGCTGGATTGCAAAGCAACAGGGGCTGCCAGGGCAGCGATTGCTTGCAGCCCTGATTTACCTCTGCTTTCAACACCACCCTGGCTGCAAGGCTGGGCAGAGGAGAGACTTGACCACCCCAGGAGCTGAGTGTGAACAGGCAGCCATCAGCCCTGGACACCCCCCAGGCTGCCCCCCTGTCTGCAGCAGGGTGGGGAGCACTAGCAGAGCTGGGCTCAACCCTGGAGAACCATCCCAGTGAATGTCTTCAGGGCAAAGGGAAGGGGAGCAGCTGTCCCTGCTCTCCTGGAGGAGGAAAGCAGCCAGGAGAGGGGTTGCAGGGTGCTCCTGCCTCCAGGTGAGTGACTCGGGCATGGATCCAGCACCTCAGGGAACAGGCAGTCTATTTGTGAGCAGACCCCAAGCTCTGTCCCACACCCAAGGCTTCTGTGGCACGGGGTGAGACACCAGAGTCCGGACGGCATCGAGGAGAGGGGAAGAGGAGATGGAGCTGGTGGGGAAAAACAGTCCTGGCCCCCCCCCAAGCTGTCCCTCCCCCCTTCAATTCCGCTTCGTGTCTTTGTTCTTGTTCTGAAACTTCTGGTGGACGACACGGAGGGTGGTGAAGAAGTTCCCCAGGAAGAGGATGAAGAAGGGGAGGCCACACATGAGGACCTGCAGGAGCAGCAGAGGAGTCAGCAGGAGGGACCTGCCTGGGGCATCCTCCTCCCCAAGGCAGCTGCCCGGGAGCCCCCTTACCTGCCACTCCTTGCATTCCGGGTGCTGGATCATGCGGAAGAGGGTGATGGCGTTGTAGAGCTGCCAGAACTGCAGGAGAGAGGAAATTTAGGGGAGTTTCTGCCTTTAAAGGCTCAACCTCATGCTCATGTTTACCCAGCTGCTCCCTCTGAGCACAAACCCCACACAGAGCTCGCGTGAGGCCACCCTGCACCTGCACGCAGTGAAACCCCGTCCAGGTTCAGGACCAGAAGACTCCAGTTGGGACATCTCCCCCTTTCTTGACACCTTCTGGAGCCCAACAGCCAGGAGGAAGCCTCAGACCCACCTGCTGCTTTTCACCATGGGCCTAAATGATTTGACCAAGGAAGAACTGGACCTTGAGCAGCAGCAGGAGCTCAAGAGCTGAAGCTCAGAAGGGTTTTGGAAGATTTCTCAGTGCCAGCCCCTTGGCTGTACTTTGCACATCCCTTGAGCACTTGTCAGAGCTACCCCGGGTCCTCCCCATCTCGTGGAGGTGGTGGGTGCTTTGGAGGAAAAGGCTCAGCAGTTGTTGAAAGCATTTCTGTATTGCACGGCTGCAGCAGCCTGTGGGGACCTGGGCGATGTCCAGGCTGCCAGGCACAGTGGGAACACAGCTTACCTGCCCAAAGAAGAGGAAGGGAAGCAGGAACGTCAGGCCTCTCCACATCCAGGACTGGAAGCCCTCTGCAAAGGATGAAGGTTTGCATGGGGAGCTGAGCACACGGTGGTCAGGGACTGGACAGAGTCCAGCTCCTGAGGTCACAGGCAGGTCCTGCCAGGCTGACACAGCTTTACCGTGGGCACTGGTGCTTGTGGGGACTGTGGCAGAGCTCCTTGTGCTCACCCAGGGTGGGCCTCTGCAGGAAGCTGCTCTGGTAGAGCTGCCCTCACCCACAGCTGCTGTCCCTCAGCCTGAGCACTCGGTGTCACAGGGGCTGGGGAGGTGGCAGCCCACAAGTACATGGGGTGTTGGAGGGAGGCTGGCTGGCTGTGAAGCAGCTTCCTGGGGGAAGCTTGGATGCTGAGAAGCACATCTGCTGCTGTCTCACATCCCTGGGGAGCCAGCCATGGGCCAGCAGCCCCAGGAGAGCAGGAGGAGAGTGTCCAGCCTATGGGACAGAGCATCTCCCCAGGCTGCTGCCTCACAGCAGATGCTGCTCTTGGGGCTCTGGCTTTATTTGTAGCTTTTACCATTTCTACTGCTGCTAAACCACAGTCAAACTGATCTTGAAACAAAAACTGTCACCATTGCCTTTAACAGAAACCACACCTCCCAGTTAGCTGAGCACCAGTCTGGTGCAGGGAGGGAGGCTGCTAGCAGCCATGGGTCCTGCGGCAACAGCAGGTCCAGTTGGACTGGGACAACAAGTAAGGGAAGATCCCAGCTTACCCACAGTCAGATCCATGTTGTGCCTCTCGCCCAGCGCTCGCAGCCGGTACAAGCACCCGCTCTGATAGTAGTACTGGAGGAACTGCACAAAGCCTGCAAGGAGAACGTGCACGTGGTCACCAGGTGCCCAGGAATCAGCTTGGCTCTGAGATGACTCTGTGTACAAAGACCGTCCCAGTGCCAGAGGCTGAGGGAAAACCCAGATGAGCCAAGAGCTGTGAGCAGCTACAGCTGGGTCTCTGTGTGACACAGAGCCAGGCAGGCCTGCTTGGCACCTGAGCTCAGCTGTGGTCCCAGCACACACAGCAGCACTTACTCTGGTACATGGAGAAGGAGAGGAACTGGTTCCTGAACATCTGGTACATGAGCCCATCTGGCCTGTGGAGGGACAGTGCTGGCTGGGGGACGTGGGGCTGAGTGCATGTGCAGCCAGCCCTGCCTGCCCCACAGAGCAGGACTGTGGCCATGGGCTAGGGTGGCAAAGCCCCATCCCCTGAGCTGGCCACAGCCCAAAGCTGGCTCCCCATGAGAGGGGGGGATGCAGACTTACCACGTCAGCATAACACCTGAGAGGAAGGTGGAGACGTAGTGATGGAAAACCCACCAGCCTTTGATTCTAGAAGGCAGACACAGAGAAGGGGCATCAGGTCTTGAGCATGAATCCAGACCCAAACGTGGAGCAGGAGAGTGGAGCCAGCCCAGCACCAGCCACCCACCAGCTCCCAGGGCAAGGCGAGGAGCGGGGCTGATTACAAAACAGCCGTGTGTGGAGCAGGACCCAGCACCTCCAGTCCAGGCAGCACCCATGGGCTGGGGCCCTTCCACCTTCCTGCACCGCCTCTGCGCAGGGAGTTCCTCCAGCCCCGCTCCTACAGCTCATCCCCGGGGTTTGCTACACACCCTGAGTAGGAGGGAGCTGCTCCCTTGGGAAGTGTGGAGCTACACAATGGATCCCAGTTCCCCAGCCTTGCAAAGGAGGACCAACTTGCTGCACACCCCCAAGCCCAAGGGACTCACTTGGATCCGTTGTTGATCAAGATGCTCTCCCGGATGGTGAGGGTGCAGTAGTACCACACCAGGAGGAAGTTAAAGACGGCATCTGTCACCCTGGTGTCAAACAAAGCGGGGTGTAAAGGTGGCAGCAGAGGCACCAGCTGTGCATTGAGGGCACAGCCATGGCTGTAGGATCCCACCCACCCTGCGAGCAGGGAGACCTGCTTCTTCACCATCCACCACAGCGAGGCTGCAGCAGCCACAAAAGCCGCCCCACCTCCAGGGCAGTGCCCAGATCCTTTATCAGGATCTGTTCAGCTCCAGAGGTTTCAGGACAGGAGAGGAGGACATAGGGTCCTCGGGAGATCTCTGCCCAGCATCCAAGCCAGACTCACCTGGAGTTGAGGAGGAACCGACAGGAGAAGGACACAATGAGTAAGATGATGGTGAGGTAGAGCTTGAACTTCTCATACTCATCTTTATAGGCAAACCTGCAGGGAAGCACAAGGACAGGCTTGGAGCAAGGTGGCTACTGGAGGTCTGTGTCCTCCCATCCCACCTGGCTGGACAAAAGTGATGTTCCATTGGGAACCTCTGGGACACATTAAAGAAAAAAACCTTGTCCCCTGGGTATTTCTGAGAGGAGAGCATGCCAGGCTGTTTTCACACAGGTGAGACGCCTTCAAGACACCCCAAACCATGCTAACCTGGCGGGAAGTTGGGGAGATCAGGCTCTGTGCAGCTCTCCATGGGGATGTCTGGGGAACTGAGAGAGGGGGACACGGGCTCCTGGCTGGGCACTGCTGCCATTAGTGTCCCAGTGTGGAGAG